GGCCAAAGGAGAAGGATCCAGACTTCAGACAGAACCTCCTCATGACCAACACTTTCACTCTTTTCTGGTCGTCACCTTTTTCTCTTTGCAAAGAGGCTCTTTTGACTTTGTTGTGTAGGAAAACAATTACCCTGGCTCCTCCCTTGGCCTTGTTACCTAGGCGATATCAAAGATTCTATCAATGAGCCCAAGTCCCAGTTGCCATGGAGACACTTGTGAATGAGAGAGGACCCTGTAACCGTGGCGACGAGGCTGTGAATGAGGGGCTGCTGCGTCTGACGGCGTTTAGTGTGGATGACAAAGATCCAGGTGTGAGGTGTACAGTGAGCAGAGGACAGCAGCGGGTCATGTGTTCATAACCCAGATGTGTTTCAGAATCACACAGTCCTTATGTCTTCACCAAACTGTGAACCGTCCTGTGGCCTCTCGATCGGGAACGTGTGGAGACGAGAAATCATGCTTTTTAAAATCACATGAAATCAGCAGAGCGGAAGATAACATTATTCATACTGATTTCTACAAAGTCAGACGTTAAATTCCAAACATTGAGAAAAAATACTGTTTATCATGCATTTGTCCTCAGTGTTGGTAAACCAAAAGAATAAAAATTGAGCTTTTAACACAATATTATTTTCAAGATTCAAGAATTTATTTGTCTTCTGCAGTAAAACCACATTGGAAAAACTGTGCAAGACTACCCCAGTGTGCACCAGACAGAGAACACAGCACACACCAGAGCTCTTGCCTATTTTACAACCAACTTGCATTTAGATTATCAGTTTACCACCAGCATGTGAAGAGCATTTACAGTATTTATCTACAACGGATCAAACCAGTTTCAATTGGCGATGGTTCTCTTTTGTGAAAAAAAACTATAAAGTGACTGACTTAAAATGGGATTGTGAGCAAAATTGTAGAACGTGTACATCTCCAAATTGTTCATACAGAAAGAGAAGCAAAATATACAAAAAGTCTCGAATACATTTCTTCTGGTTGAACTATTTTATCTTATTTCAAGTTCCTCTCAAAATCCTGATTTTTGGATTATTCTGTCATAAAATACATCACTTATTTACAGTGTAAGTAAAAAGGGTCCTACTAAATGTTCGTGATTGGTTTGAGTGAAGGTGATGTCACGTCTGCAGCTTTTCCAGAGCCTGCCTCATGTGCCGGCGTCTCCATAACCAGCTAGTCTCTGCTGAGCTATTGAATGTCACACAATGTCATTAGAAGGAGCCAGAGCAGAGCCATGTGCCGTGATGTAGACCACCGGGAGCTGGGAGGACTCGCCGGGGCTGGGGGAGGGTGCTATCGACGGAAATGAATATGCCCCCATGTATCTCCTGACAGTTCCGATCTGGATATTGTTGTTTGGAATCGATCAGAAAAGTGCTTTTAAAGTCACGACTCTTTACTGTTGTTTTGCGCTTTACAAAACGCTTTACGCTCAAAAAGTTAGCATTCCTCCAGTGGATTTTCACCTGATCCACTTGGTTCAGACCATGAATCCTCTCTGCTCTGGTCTGGACCAGTGCTAAACCATGAACACTGTACTGCAGCAACATCTCAGGCAGAAAACAGCAAGAAAAATAACAAATATAAAACACAAAATAACAGCTGTTTCAGAGACATGAATGTGCTCATGAGTGGTAGGTGCGAGAATGAACGGTGGGCTGTTTGTGAAGCAGCCCGGTGCGATGGATGGCGTTTTTAGGAAATGGAAGATTTGTATAAAAGTCAATAACCGTGGGATTATTAACGGAGAGGGCTGCAGGCAATTCTGTTTGGTTACCATCGCAGGTCGAGTTTTGGAGGAAAGACTCTGTTTTGTAATAACATTTTAAAAAGAGAAACGGTGGCACAGGGTTAGCACTCTCGTTTATTAGCAAGGGTTCGAATACCGTTCTTTCTGAGTGGACTTTGCATGTTCTCTTTAATGGTTTAGGTTTATTTTTTTGTTTTAATTTGTCGTTTGTTAGCCCTGTGTCTTCTTTAGTGTTACTTCCTGTTTCCTGATGACCTGCCCCGCCCTCATGTGTCTCATTAGTCGTGTATTTAAACCATGTGTGTTCCTTCACTCTCTGCTCCGTCATTGTCGTTCCACGTCTGTTTTGGTTCTTGTTCCCGGTTTGTTTACTTTTTGCTGAATTTTGATTTGTGTTACTTTTTATTAAATTCATTATTTTGCAGTTCCGCATTTTGGGTCCTCCTTCTTTTCTCGGTGTAGGTTTCCTCCGGGTGCTCCGCTTCCCCTACCCCTAAATGCACAATAGGTACAGTCCTCCAGCTCTGGTAGTCCTACAGATGGAACTGCATGGGTCAAATGCAGAGCACAAATAAAGTGTACATTTATATTGTATACACTGTAAAATAAAGCCAAATGGGAGATTTTTTTCCATATCACAACCTTCTACAATAAAATGGTTATATTTAATTGTTGCTCATTTAACCATAGAGCAGTTTACATCAGCAACAGTGACCAAGAGCTATTCGACACAAGTGATGCCTAAAAACGCTATCAAATTGTTTGCATTTAATTTGTATAATTATATTTATGAAAAAACTTTGCAACAAGTTTTGAACCCCAGCTTTAAAGTAGCAATATGTAAGATTTTCATGTCAAGTCAGCATTAAATATTTGTAAAAAAGGTGTTGGTTATAGATTTGTTGTTGACAAAACTCTATTCAGATATTATGGTCCCAGCTGAATTCTTCTGCATATCTGGCAACCTGAGTCAGGGAGAGTGGGACAGTTTGCAGTTCCACTTTTGGCCAGATTCTTACATACTGCTCCTTTAAATCTATCCATCATACATATGTTTTAGTGAAAAGAGAAGCCTAATTCGGCCTTTGTCGTAGTGGCTTGAATCAGCGGCAGAAAGACGGCTCCAGGCCTGACTCTCCGCTGCTCTGGTTCAGTTGTCAGGCCGCATCGATCGCTCGTCTCAGGGAGGATTTACATAAGGCTCTCACACTCTCGCAATTAGCCGTTTTGTGTTAACTATAGTGTAACAGACAGAGCAGAAACACAAGGAGACTGGCAGCTGCACTACAGGGGCCACAGCAAGACACACACACTGCCAGGGGCCAGAGGGAGGGGCCAGAAGGAGAGGCCAGAGTGAGGGGTCAGAGTGAGGGGCCAGAGTGAGGGGCCAGAGTGAGGGGCCAGAGGGAGGGACCAGAGGGAGGGGCCAGAGGGAGGGACCAGAGGGAGGGGCCAGAGGGAGGGACCAGAGGGAGGGGCCAGAGGGAGGGACCAGAGAGACGGGTCAGGGAGGGGCCAGAGGGAGGGACCAGAGGGAGGGGTCAGGGAGGGGCCCGAGTGGGGGTCCAGAGTGAGGGGCCAGAGGGAGGGACCAGAGAGACGGGTCAGGGAGGGGCCAGAGGAAGGGACCAGAGGGAGGGACCAGAGAGACGGGTCAGAGGGGCCAGAGGGAGGGGCCAGAGTGAGGGGCCAGAGGGAGGGACCAGAGAGAGGAACCAGAGAGAGGGGCCAGAGTGAGGGGCCAGAGTGAGGGACCAGAGTGAGGGACCAGAGTGAGGGGCCAGAGGGAGGGGCCAGAGGGAGGGGCCAGAGAGAGGGACCAGAGAGAGGGACCAGAGTGAGGGGCCAGAGTGAGGGACCAGAGTGAGGGGCCAGAGTGAGGGGCCAGAGAGAGGAACCAGAGAGAGGGGCCAGAGTGAGGGGCCAGAGTGAGGGACCAGAGTGAGGGGCCAGAGGGAGGGGCCAGAGGGAGGGGCCAGAGAGAGGGACCAGAGTGAGGGGCCAGAGTGAGGGACCAGAGTGAGGGGCCAGAGTGAGGGGCCAGAGTGAGGGGCCAGAGAGAGGGGCCAGAGAGAGGGGCCAGAGAGAGGGGCCAGAGGGAGGGGCCAGAGTGAGGGGCCAGAGTGAGGGGCCAGAGAGAGGGGCCAGAGAGAGGGGCCAGAGAGAGGGGCCAGAGTGAGGGGCCAGAGTGAGGGACCAGAGTGAGGGACCAGAGTGAGGGGCCAGAGGGAGGGGCCAGAGGGAGGGGCCAGAGAGAGGGACCAGAGAGAGGGGCCAGAGTGAGGGGCCAGAGGGAGGGGCCAGAGAGAGGGACCAGAGTGAGGGGCCAGAGTGAGGGACCAGAGTGAGGGGCCAGAGAGAGGGGCCAAAGAGAGGGGCCAGAGTGAGGGACCAGAGTGAGGGACCAGAGTGAGGGGCCAGAGGGAGGGGCCAGAGTGAGGGGCCAGAGTGAGGGACCAGAGTGAGGGGCCAGAGAGAGGGACCAGAGTGAGGGGCCAGAGTGAGGGACCAGAGTGAGGGGCCAGAGAGAGGGGCCAGAGAGAGGGGCCAGAGGGAGGGGCCAGAGTGAGGGGCCAGAGTGAAGGGCCAGAGTGAGGGGCCAGAGTGAGGGGCCGCTGTTGGTGGTGATGCAGCGATGGAGCGGACAGTATAGTATATATAATATATTAGTACCGTATACTTCATTTAAGAATTTTTACAATTGTTCTTTTATTTTATTTTGAATACATACAGCACAAAAATATTAAAACACTTCGAGCTCTTGTACATTTGATCATGTTACAGCAAAAAACACAAATGTTGTATTTTTTATTTATTACAAACACACCACAACAAAGTGACTCAAAGCTAGAGTTAATTCTGTGAAAATCCTCCGCTCCAGCAGCAGTTCATAAATGTACAGGATGTGTTTGTTCAGGACAGTCCTGGACTTGCATATTTCATTCACTATCATCTTCATATCTATAGATTTTGATATTCACTGCACAGACTGTTACCATCAGAAAAGGTGTTTTCAGCTGCTCTCTACTGCCATTTTTAACCATTGACGTGTTGTGATGTCACATAATCACAACCTATAGCACTTGTCATGGAAAATGTGAATGTTGAAGTAAATTTGAGTATTTAAGAGTGATTGTGGTCAATGTAAGTTTGCTTTTCAGTTGAACTTATTTACAGCTTCTGCACAAATGTAAATAGTTTATTGATGTTCTCTAACTGATGGTTTCATGTGCAGGATCCTGTCGACCGTGGGCTCGGAGTTCGACTTGAGGACCCTGCGGGCCGTGCGGGTGCTGCGGCCGCTCAAACTGGTCTCTGGTATTCCAAGTGAGTGAACGCCTCCTCCTTTCACCAGAATCAGGCCCAGTCCAGAGTCAGGTCCTGTCCAGAGTCAGGCCCTGTGCAGAATCAGGCCCTGTCTGGACAGAGACCATATCATCGTATCAGCAAAAGGCCTGGTGAATCTGTTTACTGTAAACAAAGGTTTTCTGTAAACAAAGGTTTACTGTAAACACAGGTTTACTGTAAACAAAGGTTTTTTGTAAACAAAAAATTCCAGAGGCTGATTCCCTCGTGTCGGTGTCTTCAACTCTCCTCCTCGAGGTCAGGCCCTTCCCCCAGGGAGGTGACGGTCCAGCTCTATCAGACCAGGCAACGTTACAGTTCTTTTGACGTGCAGACCATGATGGGTTTTGAACCACACTCCGTCTGACTCCTCTCCTTGACCTGTGTCCAGAGGGAGACCCCACCAGACAACACAGCTGCTATGATGGATTAGTCTTTGGGGGGATTAGTAAATCATCAAGATCAATTGTTCTTTGAATGAGATACAAAGTTATTTTGTTTTAGACAAAGACATGTTCAAATATGATTAAGTTGCTTTAGTGCTGTTTTGGGAAAGGTCGCTGTGAACACTCGGCCCCACTACAGTCATATATTTATAGACTTGTCTCCACTTCAGCTGTAGAGGTTTACTCATCACTAATGTGTGCAAGACGCAGAGAACACAGGACATGACAGCACACTTTGAAATCACAAAGTGCATCAAGTGCAGGTTGTAATTCTGTGGTAAAGCCTTCTTTGAGGAAAGTCTGTGTATAACTTGTTTTATGGAAGATATTACTGGGTTTGTCCAAACAAAATAAAAACTGAGTGTCTTCTTAACACTCAAAATGATCATCCCCCATCTGAACCCTAACACTCGCTCTAAACCAAGCTCCAACCTGACTTAACTGTCCATATTTTCTGTATTGAAGAAATAAGTGATATGAAAATAGAGGTCTTTCTTTGCAGTTTGAAAAGTGACTGAGATTCACTTTAGGATTGTCATATTTGTCTTTGTCAGAAAATAGTTTTAATTAAAACATATCCATCCTGCTCAGACAAAGAGGTAAGATCTCCAAAACCTGCTCATGTACTCAGAGGAGAGTGTGTGTCTGACCTCTGACCTCTGTGGTGTGTGTGCGCAGGCTTACAAGTGGTGCTGAAGTCCATCATGAAGGCCATGATCCCCCTGCTGCAGATCGGTCTCCTGCTGTTCTTTGCCATCCTCATGTTTGCCATCATCGGCCTGGAGTTCTACATGGGCAAGTTCCACACCACCTGCTTCGACAATCAAACCGGTACGTCCCTATCCCTCACACACACAGATAACCATGTGCTGTTTCCCCGATGAAAACTCACCTCATGTATCTCATAGGTTGTAAAAAAGATAATAAGTTGTAATTCTTGTTTGTAAAATAACACCAGGATCACATGTTGGACACAGATAAATAAATATCTTATGATGTAACTCATGCCTGTACTGATGAAAGTAAGAAAACTGCCTCGTTGGAATTGAATTAGAATATCGATCCTATTTTTCCTCAAACATATAAACTTAACTAAATAAAACGTAAAATGAAGTGGTGGTGGGAGGGGCAGATGGCACGTACGGGTTGCCTCGCTTCTGTCAGTTTGCCCCAGGGCAGCTGTGGCTATAAAAGTAAGTGGTTTATCATCATCATGCACTGTGTGTATGAGTAATGAAAAGTGTTTTTGAGTGTCTGAAAAAACGCTATATAAAACCAATGCAAAAATGTTATTAATATTATTATCATAAAAAGAGACCCCCGAAGCTGAGAGTTGAAAGACAGAACCAAGATAATGTTTGGAGAATTTTGTTAAAGGGAAAGTTATTGTCCTGTTTCTTGCATACGTCACGACCAAACAGCAGCGATTGGTTCAAGCATGAAGTGACTTAAAGATTGTGTTTGTACTTAAATGATGCAGAGCTGTAGGCGTGTTTGTGAGATCAAGATTAAGAGATCCTTTAGTTGTTCCAGAAGACACTGTACGGAATAGTCCGTGTAAAGCTGGCTACAGACTGAAGGATTTTTTTTTGCCAGAAAAAAACGTTTTCTGGATGTATCTGAAACTGCAGCAGAGTGATAAAAAAAAACACATGTCTGCAATACGTGCATTTATTCACCGGAAAATCAGAAATGACAGAATTGACTCTTATTCACAGCATCCATTCATCCACCAGAAACCATTTAAAGCAGAGGTGTCAAACTCATTTTGGTCGAGGGCCAAATAAAAAAAAGAGATGGTTGGGGCCAAAAGTATAAAAGTTGTTCCCTTTTATTGTCATATATTGTACGTTGACAAATTGATTTTATTTATTAGTTTGGATGTTATTTTCTCATAGCTTTGAATTCAATCAGAACTAGAGTTAATATGAAAAAAATATGTTTGTGAAGATTTATGAATATTTGACCTGTCTTAACTTCTAATTATTTTCTAGTTAGCACAAATTCAATTTTGTGATCATAATCTTTAAAATTAGGTATTACATGCCATTGTAGCCCAGTACTGTCATTCCAGGGGCCTCTAAAAATGGTCTCATGGGCCAGATTTATCCCACTAGCCTAAGTTTGACATGTCTGATTTAAAGTAATGTGTTCTGCGTTTCAAAGCATTGAAATGCATTTGTCTCACATGTGAAACACCATCCACCAGAGAGACCCAGAGTTTAATGAAACCTTAATCCATGTTCAGTTATTTACCTCTTAAACACAATTGAACTATTTATAAAAACCAAAACCAGACACTGTTTCTAACCCCAGTGTGTCTGTGTCCCGAGCAGCTGAGATCCGGGAGGAGTACCCGTGTGGGACAGAGCTGCCCTCGCGCCTCTGTCCGGAGGGCACCACCTGCAGGAAGTACTGGCTGGGACCAAACTATGGCATCACGCAGTTCGACAACATCCTGTTCGCCATCCTCACCGTCTTCCAGTGCATCACCATGGAGGGCTGGACCGACCTGCTCTACTATGTACGCACACCACAGCTTTGAGTCACATCTGACCCTCATACTGCTGCGGGCGGGCTAGTGCTTTAGCTTGGGGGGGTACTTAGCTAACGCAGAAGTAGATGTAGGGTGGTCGTTTTGACTTTATGCTAAGGGGTGGGGTATTTTCATGAAGACGATTTTTACAAAGTGGTAAATGCACCAAAATTTAGGAGGATTTTCTACTTCCGTGTGGATCATCAAGACTATTTGTCCTCCCAATTGTCAATCATTCTGGTGATACGTGCTCGTCCAATAAGACCAAAGAGTTTTTTCAAAAAGTGGAGAGGGCGGTTACTTCCTAAAAAATATACAAAATCCTCCTGTGTAGTATTTAAGTATAGATACTAAAATTAAAATAATAAAAGCACGAGTACAAGTTTTGTGCGTATAGTATTTAAGTCAAATGCATTTGTAAATATATTGTTTAACACATTTTGAGCATTGCCACTTTAAGTTTAATTATATTGGGAAAAAACACGCACAAAAAACATATACTTCAGCCGAATTGTCTGAAGTTAGAAGCGCAGCTAACCACTTAAAAGCTGATTTTATGTCACGTCATGATTTTTAAAGCGTGGTTTAAAATGAGGAGTAGAAGTAAAAGGTTGTTAGAAATACATTTAGTAGTGAATATTTTGACATCTACATCTGTCCCCGGATAACAGCTCACATTTACTAATCATATTTGGCCTTTTCTGAACAAACTTAGAAAAGAGAGTTAATCCAAAAAATCATCTGACACGGTGTCCACAGTTTTCCAAACAGATTATCCAATCAGAGAGCAGAATGAGGCTTTCCTTTATATTACAGCATTCACAAACAAAAATATAGCACCACACATTTGTTTTAATGAAAGCAGATACATAAACTGTCGTATGTAACAAAAAAGTTAGTATTTTTTGTAGCTTAAGCCCAGCAGGTGGATTGCATCAGTAATCCACATGTGTCACTTCATTAGACCACTAAAAGGGCATCTTACATACAGTCCTGTTAAGTACAGTACTAAAGTAAAAGTACTTTGTCACCTCTGGATATGTGTAGTAGTTAAAGTAAGTGCCGTACTTACTTTAACACGTCGCTCCCTCTAGTCCTCGCTCCTTCCAGTCCTTGCTCCCTCTAGTCCTCGCTTCCTCTAGTCCTCGTTCTCTCTAGTCCTCCCTCCCTCCAGTCCCTCCTCCCTCCAGTCCCTGCTCCCTCCAGTCCCTGCTCCCTCCAGTCCCTGCTCCCTCCAGTCCCTGCTCCCTCCCTCCAGTCCCTGCTCCCTCCAGTCCCTGCTCCCTCCCTCCAGTCCCTGCTCCTTCCAGTCCCTGCTCCCTCCCTCTATGCTCCTCTCAGTCCCTCCTCCTTCTAGTCCCTGCTCCCTCCAGTCCCTGCTCCTTCTAGTCCCTGCTCCCTCCCTCCAGTCCCTGCTCCCTCCCTCCAGTCCCTCCTCCCTCCAGTCCCTGCTCCCTCCAGTCCCTGCTCCCTCCCTCCAGTCCCTGCTCCCTCCCTCCAGTCCCTGCTCCTTCCAGTCCCTGCTCCCTCCCTCTATGCTCCTCTCAGTCCCTCCTCCTTCTAGTCCCTGCTCCCTCCAGTCCCTGCTCCTTCTAGTCCCTGCTCCCTCCCTCCAGTCCCTGCTCCCTCCCTCCAGTCCCTCCTCCCTCCCTCCAGTCCCTGCTCCCTCCCTCCAGTCCCTCCTCCCTCCAGTCCCTGCTCCTTCCAGTCCCTGCTCCTTCCAGTCCCTGCTCCCTCCCTCTATGCTCCTCTCAGTCCCTCCTCCTTCTAGTCCCTGCTCCCTCCCTCCAGTCCCTGCTCCCTCCAGTCCCTGCTCCCTCCCTCCCTCCAGTCCTTGCTCCTTCTAGTCCCTACTCCCTCCCTCCAGTCCCTGCTCCTCCCAGTCCCTGCTTCCCGATGCTGCTCTATATTTAAAAAGAGCTGTTCAGCCTGAGTTATTCTCGCAGCTTCTGGGGAAGAGCTTGATAAAAGTTTAATGCAAAAAGAAAAGAGAAAAAAAAAAAAAGTACAGTTAGCCCCGGTACAGTGCGGCGACGGATACAACCGCAAAGGTCAGACTTCACACGAGGGTAAGAGGAAGATCCAGAGCGAGCGTGTCCAGTCCAATACGGTTCAATATGCGTTTCTGTTTTTCAACCTACAATGAGAAACCAATATCAATCAATCAATCAATCAATCAATTTTATTTATAGAGCCCTTTACAACACTGTAGGCGACCAAAGTGCTTGATTTGAAAAGGCCAAACTCAATCTATGGATAAACTCCTTGCAAAGTGAGTAATGTCTGTTTAGTTTCACTTTGTAAGGGTTATGACTTTAGAACAATATTTTGTCATCCTAGTTTCACTTGTGTTTCTGACCAAGCTCTGACGTAAGAATTGGCAAAGTTTGCGCTGAAACGGATTGGTCTAAAATACATAGATAGAGAGATAGATGTGCAGTACTTTGTTGAACCCAAAGGAAATTAAAGGTGCTCTGTGTAATTTTTACAGTTGCTCCAAATGAAAAAACACGTTTACCAAAAACAAATGTGACCTTTTTTAAGAATATTCACCTCCACCATGTTTTTTAATTGTTTTCAAAAGCTGAGAAATTGACTCATAAATGTCCATGAGGCTGGAGGACTCTGTGTCAATGCGCCATCTTGAAATACAGTGGTCGATAAGGGACAAAAAGGAGTTCGAGCGGGAGTTGGAGACCGTCATATTGTCCTGCGAAGCTAAAGTAGTACCGGAAATTACAATATATGATCTCAATAAGTAAAAACTACACAGTGTACCTTTACAATTTGTCTGAATTCTCATTATTAGTCACAAATACTATAGATAAAAACAATAGATATTAACATGTTTTATTCTATTCTAGATATTATATAATCACACGTTTTTGGGGATACACAAACACCTTTTTTATGTAAATTTGCAGCTGTTTTCAGTGTTAAACAGAATCTTCCTGCTAAAATATAACAGCGTATCGATTATGCTACAAAAGTCCTAGAAAATTTTTTGCGGTTGCTCTCACATTTGCTATGACTAGAAATTTGCTTTGGCAGATGGTGCAAATATTAGACAAAATCTTAATGACACATACAAAGACACATGGATACTCAGACTCCACAGCATCCATCGACACGGGAGGGATATACAAAGGGGCATGTGAAAGTGAAAATACACCAAAAAATACCCTGATTATGAGTTTTGCTTCCTTACAACCCTAACACGGTGATAACAACGTGTTCTGAGCCACATGGACGGATAATACAGTCATAATATTGTGTTCTGAGCCACATGGACGGATAATACAGTCATAATAACGTGTTCTGAGCCACATGGACGGAAAATACAGTCATAATATGGTGTTCTGAGCCACATGGACGGATAATACAGTCATAATAACGTGTTCTGAGCAACATGGACGGAAAATACAGTCATAATATGGTGTTCTGAGCCACATGGACGGATAATACAGTCATAATAACGTGTTCTGAGCCACATGGACGGATAATACAGTCATAATAACGTGTTCTAAGCCACATGGACGGATAATACAGTCATAATAACGTGTTCTGAGCCACATGGACGGATAATACAGTCATAATATTGTGTTCTGAGCCACATGGACGGATAATACAGTCATAATATGGTGTTCTGAGCCACATGGACGGATAATACAGTCATAATAACGTGTTCTGAGCCACATGGACGGCCTTAGACGGTGTTTCTAAGCAGGAGAAGCAGCAGTGAGTGTGGAGCAGAGAGAGAGATGGTGGTGATGCATTATTTACTGTGGAAGAGCAGAGAATACAGACGCACTTATGCATTTCCTCATGATGACTTACTTATGGCCAATTCATGTCCGTGTTGCTGATGCATGATGGTCACGTTCATGTAATGCTTTCCATTCCGACAAAACATCAGACCAGTTCAGTTAGGGAGACGTAGCCCTGTTAAAGACACAGAAAAGTAATACAAGAGATTTCAGGGACATTGGTGTCACACTCATTTTAGTTCGGGGCCATTTTAAAAAACGATCTTACAACTACAGTATGCACATTTTTACTTTGAGCTACCAAGTCCTGTTTTAATTTCTTGATTACTTCATGGAAATATATAGACCAAATTATGTATTGTAATTAACTTGGTTTTAGATTGAGGATAATTTGTGAAGGGACGTATTAAATGTCATGGTAGCACATATAAACCACTGTAGCATATATAAACATGGATCTATAATAATAATAATTCTGTTTCCGAGTACACCCCACCAGCAAGGAGTCCGATAACAGCATGTCAGCACCATGGATCTTTAATAATAACTGGATAGGGTATTACTAGCTTATAGCTGTCCCACCCATGGCCACAGGGGGCGCCCGTGGTACTGCAGACTAAATTCACGTGGGCTACCCAGAAAAAGGTCCCTATAGAACTCACTGTAAATTAAACGAGCTCGACCTCAGCTGACAAAGAACCTGACAGAGAACCTGCAGCTTTCAGAAAGGTCGGATTTTGTGAGGATTTTAGTGTCCCTTGTTATCCTCAACTTTTTTTTCCTAAATCCTTCTGTTTTCTTTAAATCCACACTTTACTGCCACAAACTCTGCTCCTTTCCTTCCCGCTCTGACTCCGCTCTGCTGCTGCTCTGATCAGCTGCTCTGATTGGTCAGAGCGCAGCCGACCCCCTCCACCACACACGCATTTGGCGCAATGCATCATGGGAGCTGGTCCACTGCACAGAACTGGGAGGACCAGACGATGCCCAAATATAGCCGAGTTCCTCTGATATGTCAGCGCCCGTGAAGTCCCAGGCGCTACTGAGCACAAGCCATTCATTTGAATAGGGCGCCATCTTGGATCACCGGGGCTTATAAACCACTGTAGCACATATAAACCCAATTCTATCATTGTTTGCAAGTTTATAAACCATAAATCATCTCCTCGTTGGGAAACACTCGTGTAGTGAAGCGCTCAGGGACACAGCAGGGACCTGGCCACCTGCTCTTGGTGTTTATTAAAACTAGGTCACATTTGGAAGATTTTCAACTTTTTAAAATATGTTTCAAATTCAACGAGTTATTATTCTTTTTTAATTTGAACCTGTAGAATTGTTACATAAATGAAATACACATACAATATAATGGATCAGCTTGGTTCAGTGCCGAGTCCAAAATCAAGATAAAAAAGTGATCGTTTCTGAAGGTGAACCATGAAAAGTCCCCTCATGGTTTACTCTTCATTTCTTTGATGGTGCAGCGTGATTTCACTTTCTTCATATCGCGATTATGTTCAAGAACGTTTTCCCAAAATGAATGTCTATACATAATTCCTTCGTCATCATCAAAACAACAACAAAGACACAATTATTTCACAGTCATTTTTTTCAGACTGAAAGGGTTTTATGCCGGGGCTTCTTCACTCGGCTGTGGCTGCAGGTTTTCACTCCAACCAAGCAGGTGCACACATCCACCCACTTCTCAAGTCTCAGCCACACAACCCTTTGAGGAGCTTGTGGAATAGACCAAGTTTAGGCTGAAGTTTGACTAACTGGCTCTCACATTGGTCTAAATCATGGATGTCAAATTCAAATACATCAGAGGCCAAAAAAAACAAATTAGCTACAAGCCGAGAGTATTTTATCTAATCATTAAAGGAATAATCCAATATTTTCTTATGGCTCTGTACGGGTCGGTTCTAATACTAATCAAATATCATCCCAGGGGCCAAATAAATTTGTTTGCGGGCCGGATCTGACCCCGGGCCTTGACTTTGACACCCATGGTCTAAATCACGGCCAGAGCTCGAGGCCTCATCGTTTGGTCTCTGCAGCTCAGTTTGTGGACTCTCTCATAGAAGCTGAAAGATTATGCATTTGATTCCATTGCATGTTCTCCTCGTGTCTGTCATTTACACAGTTCAGATTAACTGAACAGCCGAGTGCAAATACTACTGTGTAACATCTTCCAGTGTCTGATTGGTTTTGCTGCTGCTCACTGTGTTTACCTGTGTGTGTGTTTTCTCTTGTTTACCTGTGACTTCCTTCTGCAGAGCAACGACGCCTCAGGGAGCGCATGGAACTGGATGTACTTCATCCCTCTCATCATCATCGGCTCTTTCTTCATGCTCAACCTGGTGCTGGGCGTCCTGTCAGGGTAGGTGCTCACAACGACAGAGATTTATTTATTACTAAGCACACTTGTATATAAAACACACAAGATACATACATTCACGTCCCACTGTTCAGAACCATCATTCACTTACACACACACACACACACACACACGCACACACACGCACACACACACACACACACACACACACCGGACTCATTCTATGCAGTGTGTGGGTGAAGTGTCTTGCCTAAGGACACAATGACAGTGTGTACCTGTGTGTGTTCTTGGCTGCAGGGAGTTTGCCAAAGAGCGAGAGCGTGTGGAGAACCGCAGTGAGTTCCTGAAGCTCCGCAGACAGCAGCAAATTGAGAGGGAGCTCAACGGATACCTGGAGTGGATCTGTAAAGCCGGTATGTGTCCTTCATCATCAGCATCATCAGCATCATCAGCATCATCAACATCATCAGTCTGAACACGGGACAAATGTTTTCTATTTAAGATCGTTCACATTAAGTCAGTTTCTTGAGTCATTTTGTAGGAATGGGCCTACAGTGCCTCAAGAAACGAAATACACTGGACATATTTTATCTCTTCTTCGTCTTGTTTTATCCATTCTTTCTGCCGTCCACCGTCTTGTACTTTTCCTTTTTGGTTTCCAGTCAACATGAAGTATATAGTTCTGTACTACTACTACCACTACTTCTGCTACTACTTCTACTACTGCTACTGCTGGTTCTACATCTTCTGTTACTACTATTGCTGCTTCTACTGCTACTACTCTTTCTATTAGTGCCATTTCTGCTGCTACTGCTGTTACTACTACTTGTACTACTACTAATGCAACTACTACTGCAACAACTAGTGTTACTATTACTGCTGTTACTACTACTACTACTACTGCTACCCCCACTAATATTACCAATGCTACTACTACATAATTCGTGTTAAAGTAAACAACAACCGTACATCTTATAGAATTACTGTATAAAATTGGTCACACAGTTTTTTGAGAATGTAACTTCTCTCACATTTGCATGTAAAGTGAACCAGACAAAAGTGAATGTAGAAAATTTAAAAACCACTAGATTGTAAGAATAAACAGCATTGAAGTTTCAGATGCAATCAGAGTAATTGAAGAAACGTTCTCTTGTGCTTTCCAGAGGAGGTTCTGTTGGCGGACGACGAGAACGGTGCCGATTACGACGGTAGAGTATCGGAGCTCTTTACAAACTCACAGTAAGTGTCGTGCTTTTGTTGCGTGTTGTAATGAGTGAATCTTTTGTTCCAGGGTCCCGCAGGAGAGCCACTAAGAACCACAAGAGCAAAGCCGAGCTGCTGAACCCGGAGGAAGGAGAGGGGGACCTCGTGGGTAAGAAGCAGCTGCTCTCTGAGATCCAACACACATTAATCTGGCGTCCCCTGTCCATGCGTATTTAAGATAAGATTACACTAATAAGCCTCCATCTAATCCCAAGAATTCTATTTGAATTTGTTTTTGTATAGCCCTAAATTACAACAGTAGTTATTGCAGAGGACTTTACAAAACCGTTGATTCGCCAACACAGATCAGAGACTCAAACAGTTTAAACACAAGAAATGCAATGATAAAAAAAACAGATAGATTTTTCACACAGAGGTCCATAAAGGGCAGGTGACTAATGTCCATAAATGTTGTTGAAAGTGGAGTGTTCTAGCCTGGTCGTACCACACCATAGTACAAATTACATTTCGTACTAAGGTCTGGATTTGCTCCATTGACTCCGTGAACAGGTGGGTGGGGTTAACTCCTTTTGCAGATTGAAACAATTGGTTCTGAGTTTACTGTCACGTATGTATTGTGCCCGAGTCTGTTGTTAGCATTTAGCATTTAGCCTAGCCATCTCCTTTGCCGCTAACGGAGCCCGTGGGGAGTAGCGCTACAATTTTTCCAGCGATTACATTTGCTAAACATTCCTCTTGCTCCGGCTTCAATTTCTTGATAGAACCAGACCGGATTACTTTACTATCGCATTTTTCACCACTGCCAAACTACGACCTTCCCGTTCAACGCAAACTCTTGACATCACTCACAACTAACTACAACACCCGCCTCCCGCGCTCTCTGAATGGTCGGTCGAAATTCAACCGATTGTAATCGCTGACATGGGGACCAGACCCAGACGTTACATGCAGACGGGCTGGAGATTGATAACATGGCTCGACTTTTGAGGAGTTTCATAATCTAACACAGCTCCTGGTGAAGCTGGTGAAGGTCCTGTCTTGTTTCGTCCTGGTGTTCCGGTTTCTCCCACGACTGAAAACGTAGATAAACATTTTTCAGATCCGGTAGTCCTGTGACCCCTGCTCTTGAGGCCAACAAAAGCACAATTCAACTTATTGAACATCTTGATAAAAAGCAGTAAACCAAGTAAATAGGGCTTCTACAGAGACCAATCTATATGGGTTTTTCAGATGATTTTACATCCTGATTGATTCTGAATATTGGCCATAACCGATGTCCGAGAACCGATACAACAAACGACTGATCAATCTCGCTATTGGTATCAATATCGGTGCATCCCTAACATTTTCTGAATATAGCTAGAGTATATATCGTCATAACTCCAAAGTGGAAACTCCTGATTTTGATTGTAGTGTGGGCAGTACAAGGTTGTATCATGAAGTTACACATTTATATTTTGAATTATGCTTTTACGTTTTTGTATATTTTTTTATTAGACCAAGCTTTTAAGGCAAAACATGTTCAACTCTCACATCTCACATCTATTTAATTATTCGTTATATGCTGTTTATTCTACTTCTGATGTTTAGACTGGTTCCCAATCATCTCTAAGACTTCTCCATTGTCACACAAATAACTACCGCCTCTTTCGTTTCCGTCCGCAGGTTCCCCGTTTGCCCGAGCCAGCCTGAAGAGCTCCAAACTGGAAGGCTCGGACTTCAAGCGGCGAGAGCGGCGTCTGCGCTTCCTGATCCGTCGCGTGGTGAAGACACAGGCCTTCTACTGGACCGTGCTGTGCCTGGTGGGGCTGAATACCATGTGTGTGGCTGTGGTGCACTACGATCAGCCGGAGCCGCTGTCCGACTTCCTCTGTGAGTGTGGGAGGCCAAAGCAGGCCACTTCGCAAAGACTATAATGCTCAGATTAAGATTAGGGTTTCGAGTGGGAAACTTTACATGTGCCAAAATGTGGAATAGTAGTTTTCAAACCAGATTATTTGCAAAAGAAAGCTAGAGAAATTGTAAATGAGTAAATGTGGTTTTTACTGTAATTGGAAAATAAATATCATTGGATGTACAGTATAAAGCTCTAACACTAGGACTCCCAGAATTCTGAAACTACAAGAACTCCCCGAGCAGTCGTTTTGAGGGTTCCCGATCAAATCAATGGAATTCTAAATATCTCCACAAAAGTGAGTGCGTTTTCCACCAGTTCATTTAAACGCCTCAGGTCTATGCACAGTTAAACAGAACAGATTTTAACCTAGATTTGAACATTGTCAGAGAAGAAACCTGTCTCACACTTTCAGGAACACTCTTTCAGATTTTAGCAGCATGAATCTGAAATGCAGCCTCCCCATGTTTAGTTCTCACTCTGGACACCAGCAGGAGGCCAGTCCCTGTGCTCCCTAGAGTCACAGCAGGAGGTCTGTCCTTGTGCTCCTCAGAGTCCCAGCTGGAGGAGGCCAGTCCCTGTGCTCCCTAGAGTCACAGCAGGAGGCCAGTCCCTGTGCTCCCTAGAGTCACAGCAGGAGGCCAGTCCCTGTGCTCCTCAGAGTCCCAGCTGGAGGAGGCCAGTCCCTGTGCTCCTCAGAGTCCCAGCTGGAGGAGGCCAGTCCCTGTGCTCCTCAGAGTCACAGCAGGAGTCCAGTCCCTGTGCTCCTCAGAGTCCGAGTTGGTACATATGGCAATAACATGTTCCTTGTGTTCTTTGGTGCGAAGCCATTGAGAGACTTAAAAGTTAGTCATTTATAAGAACCAGTCCAGGACCTGAACTTTGGAAAAAGGGGTTTTAACTGAAAGAATGTTGGTTGCCGGGCGACCGCAAATTGCTAAATTTGAAATATATATTCAAATGAAAGGAGCAGTCAAAATGACGGCTCACATTTAAGAAAATAAAGGATAAATTCATTAAAGTAATAGCGTAGAAATTGACTATATAGAGAATTCACAACGTTACAAAGACCAAACATACATGAGTCATTACAGTTCTCAAACTAAAAGCCATCAAATTGACTCCAGTCCACATGGTTCAGTCCTGGTCTCTAACCTGCGTCTCGTGGTTCAGTCCTGGTCTCTAACCTGCGTCTCGTGGTTCAGTCCTGGTCTCTAACCTGCGTCTCGTGGTTCAGTCCTGGTCTCTAACCTGCATCTCATGGTTCAGTCCTGGTCTCTAACCTGCGTCTCGTGGTTCAGTCCTGGTCTCTAACCTGCGTCTCGTGGTTCAGTCCTGGTCTCTAACCTGCGTCTCGTGGTTCAGTCCTGGTCTCTAACCTGCGTCTCGTGGTTCAGTCCTGGTCTCTAACCTGCATCTCATGGTTCAGTCCTGGTCTCTAACCTGCGTCTCGTGGTTCAGTCCTGGTCTCTAACCTGCATCTCATGGTTCAGTCCTGGTCTCTAACCTGCGTCTCGTGGTTCAGTCCTGGTCTCTAACCTGCGTCTCATGGTTCAGTCCTGGTCTCTAACCTCTGCCTGTTGTGTTTGGTGCAGATTACGCCGAGCTCCTGTTCCTGGGTATCTTCTTGACTGAGATGATGGTGAAGATGTACGGTCTGGGGAAGGTGGCCTACCTCAACTCCTCTTTCAACTGCTTCGACTGCATCGTGAGCCTTTGCACCAACACACATTTACATCCACACTCTACACACTCTGGTCCAGTCGTTAATGAAATAATGAAAATAATACATTAAAACTCATATGGCGACAGTTTTTGAGGTGGCAGTAGCTCAGTTGGAAGGCTGTGGCTTCGATCCCACCACGAGACCTGCTCCCACTGCTGTCGTTGTGTCCCTGGGCAAGACACGTTGCCCGAAGCCATCTCTGAAAGTCATTTCCAGCTTGTCTAAAAGATCCAAACATTTTACCATAATACATTTATTTTATCTATTTTTTTATTTATTTGATCGGGACAAGTGAACACAATCAACATGTGAAACACTACAACATTTATAGTTTGTGTACGTTCTCAGTCGTACGCATTTATAGTCAGTCGTACGCATTTATAGTCAGTCGTACGCATTTGTAGTCAGTTGTACGCATTTATAGTCAGTCGTACGCATTTATAGTAAGTCGTACGCATTTATAGTCAGTCGTGCGCATTTGTAGTCAGTCATACGCATTTATAGTCAGTCGTACGCATTTGTAGTCAGTTGTACGCATTTATAGTCAGTCGTACGCATTTATAGTCAGTCGTACGCATTTATAGTAAGTCGTACGCATTTATAGTCAGTCGTACGCATTTATAGTCAGTCATACGCATTTATAGTCAGTCATACGCATTTATAGTCAGTCGTACGCATTTATAGTCAGAAGTACGCATTTATAGTCAGTCGTACGCATTTATAGTCAGTCGTACGCATTTATAGTCAGTCGCACGCATTTATAGTCAGAAGTATGCATTTATAGTCAGTCGTACGCATTTATAGTCAGTCGTACGCATTTATAGTCAGTCGTACGCATTAATAGTCAGTCAGAAGTACGCATTTATAGTCAGTTGTATGCATTTATAGTCAGTCGTACGCATTTATAGTTAGTTGTACGCATCATTTATAGTCAGTCGTACGCATTTATAGTCAGTTGTACGCATTTATAGTCAGTCAGAAGTACGCATTTATAGTCAGTCGTACACATTTATAGTCAGTCGTACGCATTTATAGTCAGTCGTACGCATTTATAGTCAGTCGTACGCATTAATAGTCAGTCAAAAGTACGCATTTATAGTCAGTCGTACGCATTTATAGTCAGTCGTACACATTTATAGTCAGTCGTACGCATTTATAGTCAGTCGTACGCATTTATAGTCAGTCGTACGCATTTATAGTCAGTCGTACGCATTTATAGTCAGTCGTACTCATTTATAGTCAGTTGTACGCATTCATAGTCACTCGTACGCATTTATAGTCAGTCGTACGCATTTATAGTCAGTCGTTCGCATTCATAGTCAGTCGTACGCATTTATAGTCAGTCGTACGCATTTATAGTCAGTCGTATGCATTTATAGTCAGTCGTACGCATTTATAGTCAGTCGTATGCATTTATAGTCAGTCGTACGCATTTATAGTCAGTCGTATGCATTTATAGTCAGTCGTACGCATTTATAGTCAGTCGTACGCATTTATAGTCAGTCGTACGCATTTAAAGTCAGTCGTACACATTTATAGTCAGTCGTACGCATTTATAGTCAGTCGTACGCATTTATAGTCAGTCGTACGCATTTATAGTCAGTCGTACACATTTATAGTCAGTCGTACGCATTTATAGTCAGTCGTGCGCATTTATAGTCAGTCGTACGCATTTATAGTCAGTCATATGCATTTATAGTCATTCGTACGCATTTATAGTCAGTTGTACGCATTTATAGTCAGTCGTACGCATTTATAGTCAGTCGTGCGCATTCATAGTCAGTCGTACGCATTGATAGTCAGTCAGAAGTACGCACTTATAGTCAGAAGTACGCATTTATAGTCAGTCGTACGCATTTAAAGTCAGTCGTACACATTTATAGTCATTCGTACGCATTTATAGTCAGTCGTACGCATTTAAAGTCAGTCGTACGCATTTATAGTCAGTCGTACGCATTTATAGTCAGTCAAACGCATTTATAGTCAGTTGTGCGCATTTATAGTCAGTCGTGCGCATTTATAGTCAGTTGTACGCATTTATAGTCAGTCGTGCGCATTTATAGTCAGTCAAACGCATTTATAGTCAGTCAAACGCATTTATAGTCAGTTGTGCGCATTTATAGTCAGTCGTACGCATTTATAGTCAGAAGTACGCATTTATAGTCAGTCATACGCATTTATAGTCAGTTGTACGCATTTATAGTCAGTCAAACGCATTTATAGTCAGTCGTACGCATTTATAGTCAGTCGTACGCATTTATAGTCAGTCGTACGCATTTATAGTCAGTCATACGCATTTATAGTCAGTTGTACGTATTTATAGTCAGTCAAACGCATTTATAGTCAGTCAAACGCATTTATAGTCAGTTGTACGCATTTATAGTCAGTCGTACGCATTTATAGTCAGTCGTACGCATTTATAGTCAGTCGTACACATTTATAGTCAGTCGTACGCATTTATAGTCAGCCGTACGCATTTATAGTCAGTCGTTCTGCATTTATAGTCAGTCGTACGCATTTATAGTCAGTCGTACGCATTTATAGTCAGTCGTACGCATTTATAGTCAGCCGTACGCATTTATAGTCAGTCGTTCTGCATTTATAGTCAGTCGTACGCATTTATAGTCAGTTGTACGCATTTATAGTCAGTCGTACTCATTTATAGTCAGTTGTACGCATTCATAGTCACTCGTACGCATTTATAGTCAGTCGTACGCATTTATAGTCAGTCGTTCGCATTCATAGTCAGTCGTACGCATTTATAGTCAGTCGTACGCATTTATAGTCAGTCGTATGCATTTATAGTCAGTCGTACGCATTTATAGTCAGTCGTATGCATTTATAGTCAGTCGTATGCATTTATAGTCAGTCGTACGCATTTATAGTCAGTCGTACGCATTTATAGTCAGTCATACGCATTTAAAGTCAGTCGTACACATTTATAGTCAGTCATACGCATTTATAGTCAGTCGTACGCATTTATAGTCAGTCGCACGCATTTATAGTCAGTCGTACACATTTATAGTCAGTCGTACGCATTTATAGTCAGTCGTGCGCATTTATAGTCAGTCGTACGCATTTATAGTCAGTCATACGCATTTATAGTCATTCGTACACATTTATAGTCAGTCGTACGCATTTATAGTCAGTCGTACGCATTTATAGTCAGTCGTGCGCATTCATAGTCAGTCGTACGCATTGATAGTCAGTCAGAAGTACGCATTTATAGTCAGAAGTACACATTTATAGTCATTCGTACGCATTTATAGTCAGTCGTACGCATTTAAAGTCAGTCGTACACATTTATAGTCAGTCGTACGCATTTATAGTCAGTCGTACGCCTTTATAGTCAGTCGTACGCATTTATAGTCAGTCGTACGCATTTATAGTCAGTCGTACGCATTTATAGTCAGTCAAACGCATTTATAGTCAGTTGTGCGCATTTATAGTCAGTCGTACGCATTTATAATCAGTCGTGCGCACTTATAGTCAGTCTAACGCATTTATAGTCAGTCGTGCGCATTTATAGTCAGTTGTACGCATTTATAGTCAGTCGTGCGCATTTATAGTCAGTTGTACGCATTTATAGTCAGTCGTACGCATTTATAGTCAGTTGTACGCATTTATAGTCAGTCAAACGCATTTATAGTCAGTCGTACGCATTTATAGTCAGTCAAACGCATTTATAGTCAGTCGTACGCATTTATAGTCAGTCATACGCATTTATAGTCAGTTGTACGCATTTATAGTCAGTCAAACGCATTTATAGTCAGTCAAACGCATTTATAGTCAGTTGTACGCATTTATAGTCAGTCGTACGCATTTATAGTCAGTCGTACGTATTTATAGTCAGTCGTACGCATTTATAGTCAGTCGTACGCATTTATAGTCAGTCGTACGCATTTATAGTCAGTCGTACGTATTTATAGTAAGTCGTACGCATTTATAGTCAGTTGTACGCATTTCAATCAATCAATCAACGTTTATTTATAGAGCGCCTTTCCTACACAAGGCAACGCAAAGCGCCTCACAACCCATATAACATCATGCATAAATCATCAAACATTAGAATTTAAGTAAACATAAAAGGACAGATTAAGAGCACAAGATATATAAAATCACACAAGTAGTTAAAAACCGTAAAACATTAAAATCACACAAGGGATTAAAATCATGAATAATCATAAATAATCATAGTGCATTAAAAAGATTAAAGATAAAAACAAATATAAAATCATTCACTTGTATGCACAGCTAAAAGAACTGTTTTCAGTTCAGTTTTAAAAACTGCTAGAGTAGACGCCTGTCTCACACTCTCGGAAAGACGGTTCCAGACTCTAGCTGCATGAATCTGAAACGCAGCCTCCCCATGTCTAGTTCCGACTCTTGGCACTAACAGAAGTCCAGTCCCTGTGCTCCTCAGAGCCCGAGTTGGTTCATATGGCACCAACATGTCGCGGATGTACCCTGGTGCGAGGCCATGGAGAGACTTGTACACAAGTAAAGCTACTTTAAAATCTATTCTCTGAGCCACAGGAAGCCAGTGCAGAGAACCTGAGGACCGGACTAATGTGGTCGTACTTCCTGGTTCTAGTCAGGACTCGAGCTGCAGCATTTTGGATGTACTGCAGCTGTTTTACCGCTTGTTTAGAGAGACCTGGTGAACAAGCCATTGCAGTAGTCCAATCGACTGGAGACAAATGCGTGGATAAGAATCTCCAAGTCTGCTTTAGACACAATGTTTTTAATTTTAGCAATGTTTCTTAGGTGGAAGTAAGCTGATGATGTCACAGATGATATGTGGCTATTGAAATTTAAGTCTGAGTCCATTATTACTCCTAGATTTCTGACCTGAGTTGAGGGTTTTAGGGAGAGAGACTGGAGGTGGCAGATAACGCTCTCTCTTTGTTTTTGAGGTCCAAAAACAATAATTTCAGTTTTTTCTGTGTTTAGCTGGAGAAAGTTATTTTGCATCCAATCAC